TTAGTTGTTAGTTTACGTTTTTTACTTTTTACTTAACCTTAACCCACCTAACCTAACTTATCGTACGTACGTTACTTACTTATATACATATATATATATATATATATATATATATATATATATCGAGAGAGAGAGATATTTACTCGTTTGTTCATTCATTCTTATGAGCTCAGTTCATTTGCAGGATATGATTCCTACTTAGTGGGTGGATGTGTGAGAGACTTGTTGCTGGGAAAGACACCAAAAGATTTTGATGTGGTCACCACTGCAGGTCTAAACAAGGTGCTTATTGAATACTAATGAATTTTTGCAAACATGCAGCAATGCTACTTCTGGGGACTTATGTTGAATTTTGCAGATTAGAAGGACATTTCATGATTGCCTAATTGTGGGTAGACGATTTCCTGTTTGTCACGTGAACATTCAAGGTTCTACTGTTGAGGTCTGTGTATTTCTTATATATCTGGTCTTTTGGACTTTATAATATGATAATTCTTTTCTTTTATTTGGATGAATGATAAGCTTTTTTGAGAGTAAGAAAAATAAAAGTACAAGAATAAGTTTGAGGAGAAGAGAATGAAAAACGCAAAAAATCAAATAAGATATCCAAGACTATTAAAGTATGATAATTGTTTTTCTAGAATTAAGTTATTTTTGATACTTGATACCTGTTGTCTCTTTTTGATGTGTAATTGTGTGTCAATACTTGGATCCTCTGGTTCTACCTTATATGTTTGATATTTGGTCTACCAGGTATCAAGCTTTGAGACAACCGATCCCTTTGCTCAAACAGAATCTAATCTTGATTCACACGTGCCCTCTGGTTGTAATCATAAAGACTTTATTCGTTGGAAGGACTGCATGCGAAGGGATTTTACTATTAATGGGTATATGTATTTTCTTCATATCTTGCATAGCAATAACTGCTGGGTGATGGGGAAGCTGCTGGACATAACCTTTATGGTTGTTATCATAGGCCTAATAGTTTTTATGGACTACAGAAAACCATAGTCCATTGGGACTTCACCATTTGGTGAAATGATGGATATTGATGGACAGACCATGGACACATTGCAATTATATTGGACGGAAGCCATTCCATATTCCAATGAGCAGTGGATAGCCATTGTCAATATGGGTCACCATCCAATGAAGTGATGGATGATGGAGAGATAATTGGATGCATTTGATCATGTATGGTGGTCACCACTCTCTCCTCATTGGCATCCATTATTTATTGGATGGTGATGACCCCCATTGACTTTGATTTTCCATGGTCCACCATAATCCATCACCGTCATTTTTTGGATGGTGATGCATTTAAGCATTTAAGTTAGGGCTATTTTATGTAATTGGTATTTGTATTCTTAATGTTCTGTCTTACTTTGCATGAATATTTGATTCATGGAAAGCAGATTGTTCTATGACCCCTTCGCAAATACAATCTATGATTATGCCAATGGGATGAAGGATTTGAGCATGTGCAAGGTGAATGGCATTAATTTCCTTTTCTGAATACTAGCCCCATCCTTCCAGTTATTTGTTTATAGATTCTGAATGTTTCAGGGTTCTCTAAATTGTCCACAAAATTATCTTTTCACTTTTCAGCTGCGAACTCTGAAACCTGCTCATGCATCATTTAGAGAAGATTGTGGTAAGTCGTAACATTTCTTGAAAATCCATGTCCAAATGTAACAAACAATGCACATCGAACAGATCTATAAACACTTGAAAATCTTGAAAGTGATGGTCGTGATAACTTGTTCCAGAATACACCAATTTTTAAATTTGAAATTAGATTTTTTCTTTATATCCATGCATATCAAGGTTGGGATGATCAATTGAAGGTTTGCTAGCTTCAGAGTACTTTTTTCTACTGGATTTCTGAGGGGCACCTTATGTTTATAGCATAAGGTTGCAACCTTATATCAACTTTTTTCTTCTATTTTTAGAAATTAAAAGGAAAGAATGTCATTGTGTAAAGCGTATCTAAACCTTAGGTACATCAAGTTTGAGATGTTTATGAGCTTGTAAGATGCATTTGTGCTGGGGAAATCAAATTTTTATTGTTGCTGGGGGGGAGGGAAAACAACAAGTGGTGGTGCAAAGTGATTAAAAAAAGAAAATAAAATGGTTTCTCCCTCTGCTATCATTTTACCAGAAAATATTTATAGAGATAGAGACAATGTATTTTTGAAAGGAAGGAAGATGCTGAAGTAGGGATGGAGGGAATTAGGGAGATTCCTGGTTGAGAAAAGCGTAGCCCTATCTAACCTAAGTGGTGAAAACCTTCTTATGTTAAAATGAGCATTTCAGGACTCGGTTGAGTCCACTCGGACTGGCTGAGTTACTCGGACTCACCATTTAGTAGGCCGAATTCCCTTGTACGAATTAAAAATTATATTTTTTATTTTTATTTTTATTTTTATACTTTTTCATAGGGGATACTACTTGGCCAAGTCCACTCGGACTCAGGTCAGTAACCTGGCTTGGGCCACGACCGAATATCTGGGTCGAGCTGAGTTCAAAAACATTGATTGAAACTAACATAAAACTTCTAAATAGAAATTCTGCAATCGTCAAAAAGCTAATTATCCCCTTTTATCGCAAGGAAAAAGAGCCAAATAACCCTTTATGATATCTGAGTAAGCATTGATACCCCAACTCTGCTGCAGCAAGAATTTTGCGTGGATTTAGAATCGCGGCTCGTCTTAATTTGGTTTTCTCAAAAGAGACTGCCTCTGCCATTCGAGATCTTTCTTCTTCCATAGCCATGCTGAGTAAGGTACATACGTGCATTTGTGGCTAGCATATGTGGTGGTATAATTCAGTGACACTTCATTACAAATCTTTAACTCTTTAAGTTTAGGCTAGGCTGTTACTGGAATTGAACTATATGTTAGCATTTGGTGCTGCTGAGGCCTCTCTCCAATTGCTATGGAAATTCAGACTCCTCGAAATTGTCCTTCCACTACATGTGAGTGATATTATTATCCATTTCTCGCAATTGCTATGGTGGTTGAGATTACTTGGTGGCAGGGAATTGGTGTCTAAACTTTAAAATATTGGATTACAGGCTGCATATTTGACTCATCAAGCAAAGATCCTTTCTGATGGGAATCCCAATATGCTAATGGTATGCTTCTGTATCTTTTTGCTTGTTTTGTACTATACTAAGTTCCATGCATAATAAACCTTCATTTTTGGAGGGGTTGCTGGTGTTTGTCATCAGTTTGCATAATAAACTTCAAAGTGACTTTTCATGATTTCTGCAAGCTTTTTAAAACTTGGCAAGTCTGACTTGGAATGCTTCAGTTACTCGGATGTGGCAGGGTGCTAGGCCCTGTTAAACGACCTTGGGAATTGGCTCAGTCTCACCATTTCCCGAGGTTACTATATCAACTTTTTATAGACACGTCTCATCAGATTGGCTGACTAAGGCTCAGGCCCTGCCTCGTTCCATTCCTTGATTGAGTTTTAATCACTGGTATCCATTACAATCCTCATTCCTAAAGATGCTATGGAAAAGTATATAGAGGTCACAATCATTCTTGTCTGTCAGATTTCAAATCAGGTGGTTGTAAGAGTGCCATTGACTAGACTCAAAGAACAAAAAGAAAAAAAGAGGGTAAAAAAATCGCAAACTTCATGACACACCCCAAACCTTCCAATTTGACATCTAATGACTAGGAGTAATTGTGACCTCCAAGTAACAAAGATAAATAGTTTCATAGTATACAATCCCATATATTATTTTGGTAATCCATTTGTTCTATATGTGTGTGATATTTAGATGCCAGTTTTCTCTTGGCTTTTAGTGTGGAGGATTTGTTTGGCTTTATTGATTCTTGTGGTCTCCTAGATGGTTTCATTTGAAACTCACCATGTTCTTTCTTTGCCAAGTGGCCTTTATTTTGGCTGCGGAAATTGGTTAAGATTATTTATTCTCTTTCTCTCTCCTCTCTTGCTCACGTGTACACAAACACACACATGCATGTGTGCGCACACACAATTTACGTATTCAGCAGGCACTGGGTATTTTGTGTTCGCACTTTTACTCAGGAATAGTGTTTCTACAAACGCTTGTGGATAATTACAGAACTTTTAGTGAAAACGAATTTGTCAGGGTCCTATTCTGGTTCTTCACTAATTCTTTCTTGGTGTTGGTTTATGGTCCTTTTGCAATTTTTGGTGGCATTGGGTTCATAACAAGGGCACCCACTCTCCCCCAACTTCGTTTTATTCTCTACTAATCAAGGCCCTTGTAAGATACTTAAAATTTTTTCCCTTAGTGATCAGTCCTAATTGTGTTTCATTCCTAAAGAAATGTACAGATACTTCACATCCAGGGAGTAGTCTTCATTTTGGTTGGTACTATTCATGTTCGGTGTCAAAGAAGATTATGTACATGTAACTGGATCTGATCACTGTTTGTGATGCTATGATTGATTTTATGATGCTACCATGATAGGGACTTTGCTTCTCAATCTTTTTCTTGTTTGGTTTTTCCCTCTGACATGAGCCTTTGAATATCATGTATTATGTGCTAATGCGGGGTATCTTTTTTTTTCTTCTCAAAAGCCTTTTAGACTCATATTCTAGGGAATATGTGATTGCATGTTGCCTTATATTTATTCTGATATGGTATGGTTGGGTTCTGCAGGGTTTATTTGCTAATCTAGATAAGTTGCTTGCATCAAATCGCCCTTCTAATACTAATTTATGGTAAGCTGCTATGTCTATATATGTTCTTTACTTTTATATCGTGGTTTGTCATGTGTGGCATCTATGATGCTATTAGGGATGCTTATTATCAAGTGATTCTATCTTTCTTGCACCTCACACACACACATCCACACGCGCATTCACACACACCCACATGTGTGCATGCATGCATACACACTGCTTAAATTAGTTGGCTACAAAATCAGCAGACCTTTTGTGGAACCGATCAGAAACCACATGTTCCATGCCTCTCTCTAAGTGCAGTTCTTTTTATGTTTGGCAGGATTGGCCTGTTAGCATTTCACCTTGCTTTGCTTAGTCAACCACAAGAGGCTCTTGTAGTATGGACTTTCTCCTCCTTTTTGTTTCATGGCAATTGGAGCAAAGCAGTGAGCATAGGAAGACAAAATGCTCAAGTTGGTGTGCATTATCTTCCTGAAATTTTGGAGTCAAAGGAAACTAAAACTGATGCGCTACTGTCATCTGAAGTATCACAATTTGCATTAAAAGTGATATCGTCAATAGATGCTATGTCTGAACCAGATGCCTCTCTTGAAACAGTGTCTGACCTCCCACTTTCTCCATGTTTAGGTTTGGTATGTATTCTTTCCATGTTAGTTTCATTTTGAGAATTTAGTCAAATTGGTCTTTTTATCTCCTACTTTTTTATTTGACATTTTTAGCATTTTTAAAGAACTATAGGACCTTTTTTTACTTGATTGGTGCTTGCTTGCTGAAATCTAGACATTCAACGTGGTTTTTATAAACAGGATTGGCAAAATTGCCTCCTTAATTAGGAAGTATGCCCTTAGTCATTGTTTTGGATACACCAATTCCACCCACCCCTACCCCCCCCTCCCCCATACCTCTCTCTCAGAGCATATACATTTTTGTTGTTTGTGTGAATATGGTCAATTCCTAACCTCATTCTTAGCACTGGTTCAATCTATTAGCGATTATCTAGAAAGGTTCATTATTGATACAGAGAAAAAGACAATATTTTGATATGAGAATCATCAAATTTTGGCCTAGAAAGAGTATCAATACTAATATGGATTTCAGGGTTATGGGCTTCCCCACGAAGGCCCGGAAGAGGCCCTTCACAATTTCTTCGAAGAGAACATAAGTAGTAGGCCTATGGGACTACTCACAGACCAAGGGAGGTCACTGAGACTGGCCCCTGCTCTAAGGAGGTCACTGAGACTGGCCTCTGCCCAAACCCCCAACATCCCCTCATGAAGATCCTTTCGTGAAATGTTAGGGGGTTGGGACAAACCCAGAAACATGATGCCTCTAGAGACTTAAGTGTGAGGCACTGCCCTGCCATTCTGGCCCTCACTGAAACCAAACAACCCGATCCCTCTTTGCAGCTTGTCCGTGAGGTTTGGGTTTGTAGACCCTGTCAATGGACGTAACTACCGGCCACCGGTGCTTTTGGGGGAATTTGAGTAATCTGGAACCCTTCAGAACACACCTTCGTCAGTTCCCATATTCGGGAATTTTCTGTCACGATCCTCGTAACAAGATGTTCAGACGGCTTCCCCTGGAAGTTTACCGCCATTTACGGGCCCAATGCAAGTGCCCTGCGACCCTATCCAAGTGCCCTGCGACCCTATCTCTTGCAAGAACTGAACTTTGTTGCATCCCTTCCCCACCCCTCTTGGTACCTTGGAGGGGACTTCAAGATCACGAGGTGGTCCCACGAGAGAAAACTCCAACCCCAACATCTCTCAAGGAATGAGGGACTTTTTGGACTTCATTGCTTGCAATGAGCTCATGAACATCCCTCTACAAGATAACCTGTACACCTGGTCTGACCACTCCAGTTTGCCCACATTATCTAAACTGGGCAGATTTCTCTTCTCATTGGAATGGGATGAGGCTTTCCCTGGATCCCATGCCTCTACCTTACCAAAACCTACCTTTGACCATTGCCCGATCATCCTAGCAGTGTTTCAAAAAGCGCTAGGCGGGTCCTAGGTGGCCTGGGGGGTCCAGGTGGGTGCCCAGAACTTGGGCGGCCCAGTCGAATTCAAAAAGGATGCCCATTTGAATAAAAAAAGGATATATTGTATAAAAAATAAAAATTAGGTATTTAGGGCACTTACTTTGAGTTTGATTGCTCAATCTTCAAACTTCCATTGCTCAATCTTCAAACTTCCACCTTAAAGATGCTTCTAAGGACTCAAAATCTTCTAAAAACCAATAGATTTATAAAACATCAAAAATTAAATATAATATCAATGGGTGATGTTTTGATCAATTTTTGTCAACTTTGCCCTTCGATCCTAAAGAAATCAACAAAAACTAGTTTTTTGGAGGCTTTCTCTCTCTAAAATGGGCTCCAATAAGTTTTAGGTTTCAAATGAACTTAAAACCATACATCTAACCTTTTATATTGTAAAAAAAAAATCACTACCAAAAAAAAAATTTCCGCCTCTGGGCGGAGCGGCTGCCTAGGGACTGCCGCTTAGGCTTGGGCAATGCGCCCAGGCCTTCTGGACCGCCTAGGCGCTGTATGGTCCGCTTTTTGAATCACTGCATCCTAGACACTCAAATAGTGACGAGTGGCCTGAGACCCTTTCGTTTTGATCTTTCGTGGCTTGAAGAAGGTTCCCTTTCTTCTCTAATCCCCGCTTGGTGGGCATCTTTTGCCTCTGTGGTCGCCAGGAAGGCAGGCTACAGGCTACAAACCAAGCTCAACTCTTGAAGGCTTCTCTTAAAGTTTGGAGCAAAACCAACCTTGGGAACTTCTCACAAACCAAACATAGTTACCTACAAGCTATTTGTGCCCTTGATCTTGCCGAAGAATCCCAACCACTATCTCTCTTTGACTCACAACTGTGGACCCAACTTAAATTGGAATACTTCTCTATCCTTAAGAAAGAGGAGATCTACCAGAGGTCCAGGGTCAAATGGCTACAAGCTGGGGATCATAACACGGGGTTTTTTCATAGGATCGCCAATTGCCGTAGAAGGGACAACTCAATTTCTACCATCAAGGTAGGAAACAAGGCATTAGATCAACCACAGGACATCAAATTGGCCATCCTCTCATTTTTTCAAAGTCTCTATAAGGCACCCCTCACACCCAAGCCTAGAATGGGGGATATCCAGTTCCTTTCCATCTCAGACCATTGGACCTAGTGGCTGGAAAGGCCGGAATCTGAAATCCTGGCCTCCATCAAGGAGCTCGGGAAAGACAGCTCCTGGCCCCATAAGGTTTTCGGTAGCCCCTTTTTGGGAAACCTTCCTTCCAGACTTCCTCAACTTTATGAATGAATTCTACCACAAAGGTATCCTTCACAAAGCGATGAAGGCAACCTTCATTGCCCTTGTCCACCAAAAAAGAGGGCGCTAAAGAATTGAACGATTTTCGGCTGATAAGTTTGATCAATTCAACCTACAAGGTTCTCTCTAAAGTGCTAGCTTCCAGACTCAAAGAGGTCCTACCTCTTGTGATCTCTCCCAGAGCGCCTTCATCAAAGGGAGGCAGATCTTGGACGGCGTCCTAGTGGTGCATGAATGCCTTCGCTCCAGACACCTAGCCAATAGACCAGGTCTCATCTTCAAGATAGATTGGGAAAAGGCCTACGAGCACGTAGACTGGTCCTTACTGGATGAAATAATGACTAGAATGAGCTTTGGGGTGCGCTGGAGGAATTGGATGAGGGGGTGCCACTCTAACTCCTTCTTTTCAGTCAATGGAGCCCCTAAAGGCCCATTTCCTTCCTTTGGGGGCCTCCACCAAGGGGACCCCCTGTCCCCTTTCCTCTTTGCAATTTCAGCTGAAATCTTCATTCAGTCCATTTCTACAGTGTATCAGGCTGGTCTTCTTTCCGGCTTCAAAAGTAGCCTTAGAGGCCCTGTGGTCTCACACCTCCAATACGCCGACGATATGTTGGTTTTTATAGATGCTGCCCCCATTGAAATTGAGTACCTCCACCTTTTCCTCAAATGTTTTGAATTTGCCACAGGGTTCAAAGTCAATATGGAGAAATCAACCATGATAGGGGTGGCTCTTTTCCAATCTCAAACTAGAGCCCTAATCCCTGAATGGAAGTGTAAAGTTGATGACCTGCCCACATCTTACCTAGGAATGCTGCTGGGGTTAGGGAAACCCAAAAAGAGGCAAAGGTCCCACATCATAGACAAAGTAGACCGTCACCTAGCAGGCTGGAAAGGTAGATGAGACCTGTCCTTTGCAGGAAGAAATACTCTCATTAAAGCCACTCTGGCTAATACTTCAGTGTACAACATGTCCCTTTTCCATGTGCCAGTGACTGTAGCTAGTCAGCTAGAACAGCCCATGAGGAACTTTCTGTGGTCTGGGGAAGCATAATCAAATAAATTCCACCTCATCACCTGGGATAAAGTGTGCCAACCCAAACACATTCATGGACTAGGTATTCGCAACCTCCAAACACAAAATTCAGCCCTGCTCGAAAAGTGGTGGTGGCATTTGGCGACCGACCCAAAATAACTTGCTGTGGATAGAAGTGGTGCGACGAAAGTACAGGATCCCATTCGAAACCTGGCTTCCAGTAAGTGGTGCCACAAGCAGACCTTCAGGGGCTTGGAAGTCCTTCCTCTCCTCCCTTTCCAGCTTTACGAGGTTTATCAGATTCCACTCTAGGGAAGGACACAGAGTCGGCTTCTGGTCTGACCCTATGGTTGGGTCACACACCCTTTAGGGAGCGCTTCCCCTCTCTGTTCAACCTTGCCACCAACGTTTCGTCCTCGGTTACTGATGAGATGTTACATCATTCAAACGGTCTTTATCTGAGGCAGAATTTGACGAGTTTCTCTCCCTTTCTTCTATCTTGCACTCCTCCTTTCTTGCCATCTCTGGACCTGACAATCTCGTCTGGACGCCCTCTCCCTCCGGCCTTTTTACGGTCTCTTCCTTTTACAAGAACTGACGGAACCTCCCACCTTTCCTCACCACCCATCCTCTGTGATTTCAAAGTGTGGACTTCTATAGCACAGGGTATTCCAATTCCTAATCGCTGTGCTATGCGTCTCTGCGAAGAAGAGTCTAACTCTCACTTGTTCATCCACTGTAACTTCGCTTTCGAACTTTGGGGCAGGATCCTGCTACTTTTCGGCTTGACCTTGGTGACCCCGGCCTCCATCCCTGACTTGTTCAAACTTTCAGCGGACACCCCTTGGCCCAAAGCCGGGAGAATCTTATGGCGGGCATTCATCGCAGCAACCATTTGGGCTTTATGGACTGAGAAATTCTCGTATTTTCAGATGCACCAATGTGAGAATTCAGCCCTCTTCCATTAGATCATTTCCCAGGTCATCTTCTGGGCCTCCCACCGCAAGGAATTTCATGGAGTCTTGGCATCGACCTTCCTGCCTAACTGGAAAAACTTAATCCTTCTTCAGCCTCCTTGGCCGTCTCACGCTTCAAATTGGGTCCCACCTCCGGAGGGCATAGTAAAATTCAACTTTGACGGTTGCTCTCTCGGCAACCCTGGACCAGCAGCAGGTCCGGAGGGCATAGTAAAATTCAACTTTGACGGTTGCTCTCTTGGCAACCCTGGACCGGCAGTAGGGGGTGGGACCACCTTGGCAATACTCTCAATCTTTTTCTGAGAGCATAGGTCAGGCAGACTCCCAATCCTCTGAATCCTTGGCCTTTCTTACCGGACTCAAAACTGTTCAACCACGTTGGGGGTCGCTCCCTCATCATAGAAGGAGACGCTTTAAATGTAATCTCTTGGGCAGCTGGCCATGCAGTCCCACCTTGGTACCTCGCCTCTGTTTTCGATGAGATTAGGCACCTTTGTAGGGACCTAGTTGTCTCATGGTCACACATTTGGAGGACCTCTAACTCCCTTGCAGACCAGAGGGTGAAGGGCGCAATTTCAATCACCATAGAACATGGAGACTAGCACCACTTACACCCCAGGTGTTATGCAACCTTGTGGTCCCCAGCCTCGCAATTTTTTTTACATTTTGCAATGGGCAATTTAAACAGCCCCATATAATTTTTGTACAGGGCCCTTTTGTAGGGTAGCCCATTTTTTGTCAAGGGATCCAACCTGTGGGTCACATCGAAGGTCCTCTGTACTCCCCTTTCTTTTCTTTAATACAACCGTTAACTTCATCAAAAAAAAAAACCGAACCGTTTATATAAAACTACCTGTTTCTTTTTGCCTTACTTTCCTTTCAACTTGTTCAAAACTTGATAATACATGTGACATTGTGAATAAACGTGCACAGGCCCTGATATCTAAGAGAATGGCCAATCAAGTGGCAATGATCTTCGAGGTTGTTCGAAGTGATCGAAATCCAAGAGCTGTGCAAGAGAGCTCTGAAATAGACTACAAGCTTCTGAGGCAAGGCGACCTCGAACAAGTCAGGTTTGTGCTTGGAAAGGTTATCATGGAAACTCTGAAGGCAGGTGCTCCTCTTATTGAGAAAATGCTTCCGTCTCCCCCTCGAAGCCTATCGGCAATTTTTAGATCTAAATAAACTTATACTTGTACACATCTTCTATTTTATTATTTTTAGTTCTAGTTTTGGCTAGGTATATTTGTACATTAACATACCCCATGTAATACTAGTTTTTTCTCTTCAAATCATTTTGGAGCTCTGTGAAAATAAATCAATCAATTCACAGCAGTTCATTTCCTCAACGAAATTTGTGTGCTTTTATGGGTTGGCTGGTTAGGATTGTTTAGAAATTAGTAGGAAATGTGAGTGGTTCTACAAAGGTTTTTTTTTGGCTGGTTGGGTTTGTTCAGAAATTACTTTGGAATACGAGTGGTTTGTACCACTGGTTTTCTCTCGGTGAGATTTATGTCAGCAATTCATCAGAATTTCTTGAAAATGAATAAATTTGGCCTTGTTTATGGGTTCACAAAAAGTAAAAAACATTGTTCTAACACGTTATTGTACCTCAGGCATTTAAAGTGTGGCAATATTGTGCCTCAAAAAAGAAAAAAAAAGAAAAGAAAGAGAGAGAGAGAGGGGGGTTTCATCTCTAAGGGAAAACTTTCTATACTTTTCCGCTATGTATATCTTATACACTTCCCTTCCTATTCAGCCTTCTCCAAAATTCACAAGTGAGCTACTGATTGGGTGATCACATCTCGGAGTTATTTTATTATTTTATAAATCATATGAATATGAAATTTGGGATATGTAATAATCTCAATGACCTAAATAAAATATTAAAAAATAATTTCAAAAAAATAAAATGGCCATTATTGGTAGTTTTGTTTTATATATTTTTTGCTGGTGTGAGTTTAACAGAGGATTAGGTACTTCAAATTCGGTGCCAAAAATGTCTGGTAGAAAAAAAGAATTAAAAATGAAACAGTATATAATAGATTTTACATTGGGATTAGGGTCTTCTCCATCCATTCCGATCGGACGGTTGGGAAAATTGCATATGCCCCCAACTTTGGGTTTTTTACACAACCTCACCCCAACAAACTTTATTTTCGCATCTTTTATCCTAAAAATAATTTTCTAGCAAATAACCCTCAAAGTCAAAAAGTTATATTTATTTAGATCAAAATACCTTTGTTCGTATAAGCTCACGTCACATCCTTATAAAATACGCAACCAAATGTTGACTATTGAACCATAGTAAACAATTGTCGGACCGACGTGAACATGCGTTGGACTGAGGTAAAGACGCGCTGGATCGAAGTCATCACTTATCGGACCATGTAGAACAACTGTTAGACCCCATAAAAAATTTGTCGGACCAAGGCCACCCAATGCCGGTCTGCATTTCCTTTTGCCTGACCGATAACCTAGACATGGAAACAATTGCCGGACTGAATGTTGGATTTGTTGGACTGCATGCAGTTAGTGTCGGACCGCTATCCTGTTGCCGGACCGAGACCACGATTGGAAAAGAGAGAGGCTTTTAACTTAAAGGATGGTATTTTGGTATTTATTTATTTATTTATTTTGATTTGGGGGTGTATTTGCTAACAAAAATATGATTTGGAATAAAAGTTGCGTAAAAAAAAGGTTTGTTGGAGGTTGCTTAGAAAGTTCAAACTCGAAGGTATCTGCGCTTTTCCCAAAGACTTATATATAAGGAGGTTTAGAAAGGTTTCCCCATCTCTAAACTTCAAAGCTGGGATTACCTTTGAGGGCCCATCCCCTTTTCTCCAGCGTCATGTGAGAGAGAGAGAGGGAGAGAGAGAGAGAGGA